TACGATCTAGATGAAGAATGGCAGTTAAGATGGGCCACTTTTAATAACCACAACCACAAACATAGCATGCAGATCCAATAAAATCACTTTCAGGAATGCAGTTACCCCAAAAAATATGGAGCCACCTGAATAGAATCAGAAAAGATGATGCCAGAACTAAAGCAAAGCTCTTTAAGTGGGGAATGGCTGAGAACCCACTGTGGTGCACCGGAACAAACTATAACACATATAGTTCAAGAATGTCTCCTCATGAAATTTCAAGGCATCTGGAATGATCTCATCGCAGCCGCACCAGAAGCCATTAGATGGTTAGCATCCTTATATATCAAACTATAACATCTATCCCATTGCAATTCTATGGCTCCATAGTATGATGATTTTATTATGGTTTTATCTTAGTCACCATACGCTAAATAAAATAAAACCAAGTCTTTGATTTTCTGGAGGCACTGTAATGGGGAATTGATGGAATATATGCTTCGCTCTGTGAGATGTCCAAGCTTTTTGTCAATTTTTAGCCATGATGTAGGTTGGAGTCCCTGGTAACAGTACAATTGAACAGAGAGATATCTCAGATGTAGGTATTTTGGGGTGTCCAAAGAAGCACGAGAGGATGGGTCCATGCTTTTCATCTGCCATTGTTCTTTTGTGATTTGACCTGTCTTGGTTAGGGAGTTAAAGATTCTCTTGATCAGATTGTCTAGTTTCTGTATTGGATTGGTATTTGCTGGGATGTGGGTTTCTTTGTCTTTTAGTAATTCTCTGGCTTTTTGTATATATTATGATTGGTCCAAGATAACCGTGGTTCAGTCGTTGTCTGCTGGGATAATGGTAATGTTTTGGTCCTTCTTTAAATTTCTGAGGATTGCTCTTTCCTCTGCTTTGAATGGATTCTGCTTCAGTGTTCTTCTGATCTGTGGTAAGATAGTCTGTTTTCTTGGATCTCTGTGACAGGTTATGTGGTTTTTAAATGCTGCTTCTAAGGTTGCAAGGAATTCCAACTGATTAGCATCATCTTTGTTATAGTTTAGGCCTTTCTACAGGTAATTGTATTCTGTGGTAGATAGTGGGCAGCTGGACATATTGACAACCTATTCAGGTTCGGGTATCTCTTTGTTTCTGGGATTTAGCTTGAGCAGTTTGGTTAAGAGTTTAGTTTTCTTTTTTCCAACTTGTCACAGCAATGCAGTCTTGATGGTGGTTGTCAGCATTTATATGTGTTCTGGGGAAATGGCCTATTCTTGTTGCTTCTTGGGGTTTTTTATGGTGTGCTGTTATCCGTTTAGTCTGAGGTACGTGTTCATAATTATTAGCTGTATCATTTTTCACCCACTTTATTGGACAATTTCCATCAGCTGTGCAGTTTATTGGAGGTTTGTTTCTGACACTAGTGGGCAGGGCATTTTGTTGTAGGCTTTAATGCCTTTTCAGCCTTCCAAATCGGTAAAATGAGGACCCAGATTGTTGGAAGCAATATGCTGACTCTGTAAACCACTTAGAGAAGGCTGTAAAGCACTATAAAGTGGTATATAAGTCTAAGTGCTATTGCCATTGCTAATGCAGAAAGAATAGTTGTTCCTTGGTGGTTTGCCTACAGTAAACAACAGCCTAATCAAGGAAGCACCAAGAGGAAAACAACACTTCCACCAACACTGATAGGGCAGCCACTGTATATAAATAGAGAGCAAATCCCACTTTCTTCTAGCATTGATAATGTTATCTAGTTCGATAGTGAAATATCTGCAAGAAAACAATCAAGCTCAGAGAGGTCCGAGGACTCTATTAGGTTGAACCAAGAGCTTCAACCCAGAAAGAAAAACATTTTTTTTTTTTAAACTATCCAATTATAATTAAGTAGGTTCCAGATGTTACACTGTTCACAAATTTTGCATTTTGCTCATAATTACCTTTAAATACTCTGCTGAAGAACCAGTATCAAAGGAAGCAAAAGCAATTGTGATAGGCAGTTTCTTACCTTTCTACTGTAGACATGTCTCCCCCCATTAATCAAACACACACAATTTTTGTGAGCCAGTCTAATAAAATGGTTGCATTGCCCGGTGCGCAGGATCGCCAGAGGTTCTAGAGTCAGAGTTCCATCCTGAAGCAGTGCTTACACTGAGCACATAAGAAAGAAGTTAATTGAATTGTAAAAAGTAACAGTGATCAATCATTAGATTTTATCACTTGTTACACCCACACCAGCTAATGAGTTAAAAATCACCACACATTCACAAACATGAAACCGTATTTTCTATTTTCCCCAGTCCCACTCAGGTTGACATATTTTATCTTCACATAGCTCTACTCAATTGAAACAATTTTAAAAAATACACACAAATGTGTCCTCCTAATTTATATATATTATATATATTATTTTTATATATTGTATATTTTAAAAAACTGAATATTAACTCATTTGACAAAATGGGTAAGCCCAGTCTTGAAACAACATTTTGACCACTGTTTGTATAATCAACAGAGGCCACCAATGCTTTACACTTCCCAATCTCCCAACCTATCAATGATTGAGAAAGGGACTGGACAACAAGGGAGAGAAAGCATGTAAGTAGCAGAGGAAACTTACATCAGAACAGAAGAAAGAAACATGTACATCTACCAACACATAAAAGATGTAATAGAAAAATAGAAACGGTTTGGGAGCCCAGAGCTAACAGAGAAAAAAAATGCTCTTTTGGGATAAAACATTATGTTGATATTTATCCCACAATCTAAATATAATGCTAAAAACTAATGCTAACATTATGTATCTTTATAGGCATACCTACTTGTACTGAAAAAAAGAGCCTTTTCATTATAGTAGTTCTAATGTGAACTGACCAGGAGCTCACATAGATAGTACATCTAAAATTAGTATGACAATTAAGAAAGAGACCATCCTTTTAAGGTAGTACCGTAATACTACATTATATTGTAATTGTATAGTAACATATGCTAGTATCCCTATCTGGAAAAGAAATGAATGCAAGACAATCTTCATTCATTCCAAATGAATGTTAAAAATCCCTCAACATTAAGAATGACTTTTTAAAATTACCATCGTATTGCACAGTACTTTGTTTTTTGCTTTATCTGTTTATTCCTTTCCCACCATTTGGTCTTGGGGAAAAAAATCCTATAAAAATATGTAGATACTTTGAAATATTATTCAAAACTGGATACTTCATACATTTCAAATTATGTTGAGGATAAAAGAAACCTTATCAGTTTCATAAAATGGTTTTGACATCTACAACAAGAAAAAAAAAGTATAATGGGGGGGGTGTCACATTTTTTTCACTTCAGCAGTCTGTGTACTTTCTTCTGCCTCTACTATGGTTTTTTAAATGGTGTATAAACCTCTCTCTGCATTATCTCCTTTTGTCCCATTTTAGAAAGGAATTATGTTCACAATAGTAAGAATAAGAAGCCTTAGGCATTCCTATGGTTCATGCTTAAAGACCAAATTTCACTGCAGGTCTTGCAGAGAAATTTCATTGCCAATTTTATTGCCAACGCAACAAGCACAACAAAAGTGCAAAGCTGTGAATATTAGGACTAAGTTTGAAAGATTATGCTGGATTTCATGAACCACAAATGGGCATGAAGGCCAAGGACTTCTCTTTGCCCTCCCACTGACCACCGGGCTTCATTTCTGATTAGTATTCAGATTTTTCATTACATCTGAACCAAACAATTCCCATTTAATAGCTCCTTAAAGCAGTTAACAAAATAATTGGTTATCAAACAAATCCAATCCAGGTTTGACTGACACAAAACTACAATTCTTTGATTTTCACGTAAGAGGGGACTCCAAATGTTCAATGCAAGCTGAGGATCAAGTGTCAACCATGGGATGAGGAGCAGTTGGAAGAGGGGAGACAGAAACATTTGACCCTGGCACTCATACTTGGCACATAAAACAGCTAGTTAGGAAAGATCACCTGAACCGTCTAAAATAAATCTTTCTCGCTCCTGAGTCTGAAGCTTTATGTCTCAATTTTAATTTACATTTACAGACAGCTAAGCAGAAAAGATACCAACTGACAAAAGAACCGAACCCTAACGACCGGATTAACGATTTATGTCTACCCCTCCAATGGAATTCCATGGTTGACCGTTTCTCAGTTTTCGTACGTCTATAAAGGTTCGGAAAAGGTCGACTTGTTTGTAGTCGGTGTGTTTCGGAACGAAATCCGAGACAATCAAGTCCCTCCATAATCTCTAATGTTAGGAATCCTGTGTCTCTCCCCGAAAAAGCAGTCATTACAACAGAAACACAAGTCAGGGAAAGATATTCTAGAGAGATGGGCCCTTTTGTCTTAAAGGCTCACATGAAATCCAGCACAGAGATGGCTGTTTTTTTCTGAGTCGTTTCAATAAAATTGAAATAAAATGACAAAGCCTGTATTAATCATCAGGAGCTCTTATCTATTTATTCACTATAGCACGCCAAACCATTTTTTCTATCAACTGGGGATGATATGTTTATCATGGCTGACTCGTCCTTCCCAAATTCAGATGTTTTTGAAACCTTGCATTAGTGACTGACACACTAACCTAGCTTCGAGGAAATGCTGGTTTGAGTCTGCTTTTGGTTGCTGAAACACCCTGAGTTGGCTTTGACCCAATCATTATCTCTCAGTGTACTGCAGCCCCACCCCAAGCTTGATATTGTGGGGAATAAGCAAAGGAGAGAGTCGTAGGAATACCATCTTGAGTTCCTGGCAGAAAGCCAGGGTAGAATTCTAGGAAATAAATTAAATAATACATCAAAAGGTAGAATACAGTGATGTATAATTTATGCAGAATACAGACCTTTTCAATGAAAATTTATTTTAGTAAGCCCTATCAAAAAGGGGAATACAAAAAATATATATCCTTGACTTTAAAATCACTCTATTTCCCAGAGCACTTCTCAAATCCTCTCGGTCTTTCCCAGGAGTGGTTCTTAAGATAAACCGATACCACTTTGCCCCAACTGGTGTATCACACAATACCTGTTTCCTTAAATCCTGAGCCGATTGGTGAAGGGTGTGGTGGTTGTTAGCAGTGAGCCCTTTTGTGGAAAAGCCCGTGTTTGTTGAAGAATGGTGATTAGCAGCAGACTGGTCCTTTCGACTCTCAGACCTGTGTTCACTGTTTCGTTCCTTTGCTGGCACTGAGTCTTTGACTTTATGTTTCTGAACAGGCTCCCTCTCTTTCACTGATTTGCTGGATCCATTGAAGACTGGACAGAGAAAGGGGGGGGGGAAACAAGAAAGAGAAAAAAATAGTAAGAATATGAGAGAAATTAATTCTATTTCAAACAGAAAATACCACTGCTGTTAGCTGCTGCAATTAATGTATACTTTGACACAAATAAATCTTCACTAGTTCGTCACAGTAGGACGCGCAGAGTTAGAAACAGACACAAGTAGTCCTTGGCTTACAATCATTTGTTTAGTGACTGTTCAAAGTTATGACACCACTGAAAAACCTATGACTGGGCTTTGAACTTATGACCGTCGTAGCAGCCCCATGGTCACATGATGAAAATTCGGCAACCAGCATGTATTTAGTATACTTGCAGTGTTCCTGGATCGTGTAATCGCTATTTGTGACCTTCCCAGCTGGCTTCTGATAAGCGAAGTCAATGGGGAAGGAAGGCCAGATTTGCTTAATGTCTGGGTGATTCACTTAACAACTGCAGCGGTTCACTTAAAAGCAGGTTAAAAAAAAGGTTGTACAATGTGGCATAACTCTGAATTTTAGTGGAACGAATCCTTATCTTAAATACTAGTATTCAACTCCTGATGGACATTAGTAAAGTTAGATATAGGGTCACTTCTAGACATCTGTTCTGTTCTTAGGATAGATACCGAATATTTCGTGAAAACGAGACACGGGGTTGTTCCTATTTATAATCGTATTTTAAGGGGATCTTTTTTTCCTGTGGTCTTAAATAAAAGATTGGGAAAAGCCCCAATGGTATGCAACTAGTTTCAGTGGTTCTATCTCAGATCTTTTGGATACAGGCATTTATTTGTGAGAACATGTAAAACAACAAAGAGAAAATTGGAAGTGTTAACATAGTAAGCTCAGTTCAAACATTCTATTCATCCTTACAAGGACAGAGCAATGATTGGCATTCCCACTCCAATGGCTACAAAATATACTCATGATGATGTCAAGCTGGGAACGCCTGCCAATTAATGCTCTCTCAATGCGATGAAGTGACAAGTAACAAAATTAGAAATAGCAGCCGCAGCTTTTGAAAAATGACAGATTGAAACCACAACTGGGCAGGAAGATGAAGCAGTTAAATGGGAAAAAAAAACACTGTGGTTTTTCTGAATATTAAAAAGCAAGGCAAAAACAGCTATTGACCAGCTCTGCTTCGCTTGTCCTTTACTTCTGAATCCCCCAAATTTAAAATAAATGAACATACTCCCAGTGAAGCCATTATTAAAGCTCATTATGTAATAAAGATAATTAAGTGCTGTGAAGCAATGTCATTCAGTGATTAATATTATCTATACAATAAATCAGCCCCATCATTTATATGATAACCATAACATTATTTCAGACTAATTTAGTTAAACCACAGAATTTATTACAATTTGCATTTGGGTCCTATATTTTTTGCAACCTGCATCAACTTTGCCATCTCTTTTGCAAATACTTTCCATTGTGCTGTACGTACCTTATTCTAACAATTAAGCAGTCAAATACAAGTAGTCCTCGACTTACAACCACAATTGAGCTCATTTTTTTTGTTGCTAAGCAAGACAGTTTTTAAGTGAATTTTGTCCCATTTTACGACCTTTCTTGCCACAGTTGTTAAGTGAATCACTGCCAAGTTAGTAACCTGGTTGTTAAGTGAATCTGCCTTCCCCATTGACTTTGCTTGTCAGAAGGTCGCAAAAGGTGATCACGTGACCTTGGGACACTGTAATCAATCATAAATACATGCCAGCTGCCAAGTATCCAAATTTTGATCAGGGGACCATGGGGGATGCTGCAATGGTTGTAAGTGTGATAAATGGCCATAAGTCACTTTTTTCAGTGCTATAGTAACTTTGAACGGTCACTAAATGAATTGCTGTAAGTTGAGTACTACCTGTATTTCCATCTTTACTTTAACTAGATGATCCCTGTAATGGATTTTACATACTTTTCTTAGTTTAAATTCAGAGTCACAATCTCCATTGCAATCCATTCTTCCAACGGAGAAAGAAAAGAACAGAACAAAACAAAACAACAGGCCATCAAAGTTAACTGTTCTCGTCCTTCAGATTAACAAAAAAATATAACAGAAAAACATAACAGGAAGCTTCCCTCCTGATAAACTTCCAATAAATTAGAGGAAGGAAGCATTTGAATTATGAAAAATGTTGGCTGTTCCTAGTAATTCTTTAGAAAGAGAACCTCTTGCAGAACAGAACCGGGGGGGGGGGGGATGAAACCAATGTTTCCTATTTAAATTACATAAATCAAGGAAAAGCTGACTTAAGAAATTAAACAAGCTAGGAAACAGCTCCATAAAGATGGTCTTTCTCTTCAAAGAAATAGGTTGTGAAAATAAACATTTCCTTTTGATGAAACTGACTAGGCATCCCCTAGTCAGGACAATGCAAAATAAGGCAGAGGGGCAAGGCAGGAGAATTCATCACCGAGTCCTAGAGAAAGAACACAGAACTGATTTACTGCAAAGGTGCTGCCAATGTCAATAGAATATGTATGACTTTTGTGGGAGATAGTGGCCCAGGTATTATTTCATTCTGGCGGTTACAGTTTAGGGCTTCCAGCTACTCAATGCCAAATATATTTTTCAAGCTCTACCGACAAGGCATTGATCAATTTATCTGGATATGACATGAAGGTCACGTGAAGAAAGTGCATTGTGACTAAGGCAGCTCTGCTGATTTGCAAAGAAATAATGGATGTGAGTCTACAAGGTAAGTAGGCTGTATTAGCGCCAGTGTTGATATATTAACCTAGCAATTAGAGACAATACCAAATCTGGAACGAATATAACACTGTTGGCAGGCCTAGTCAACATCAACGCTAATGTTTTGCTCTAGTTTCATTTTCAACAGAAAAGAAAAATTCCGTAAGAAACCATTAAAATGTGGTTCTGAAGCAGACAGGACACACCGTTAAATTAAATGGATAAATTATTGGATATTTGTTTTGAGTCAAAATGGTGCTTTTCGGACAGACTCCCCAACTGGTTGTCCTTCATATATGCTAGATATCAACTCCTATCATTTCCAGTAGGACTAACATTGGCTACATGTCTCATAAATACGAGGTACTGTGCAGAAGAGAGAACTCCAGTTTTGCCTTGGTTGTCTTTCTCATCATCGATATTCTCCACTCCAACTTGCTATATTCAAAGACATACCATGTCCATTAGGAACTTGCTTTTGTGTTTTCCCTTTCCTAGGAGTAGACTGGCATGAAGATGAAGTGTTATTTGTGGTCACTTTCGCATCCTCAGTTTCTTCATCATCTTCCTCCACTTCCTCCTCATCCTGAGAACTTCCAAAGTATACCATGCTGCTGGGCAGGGCAGAAGAACCTGAAAACAAATCAGGGACATAAATATTGTAGCTGTTTGAAAATGGCTATTAAAAGCAAAGTTATTGAGGAATACAGAGTAAGGGCGCAAGGAAATGGATTTCCAGTTCAAAATTGCTCCTCCCCCCCTCTTTACTGAACATATCCCTAAATGTTTGCATATGAAACTCAGCTACGTCACCTCTTTGAGTTGGTCAGACAGAGATTTCTTCATTTTTTGTGTGTCAAGGAAAGATAGAGGAACAGAGACAGAAATGGCAGTATTTGAATTGGGAAGGCCTTTGTCAAGTAGACTGAGCCATAGCTCTTATCTGAATCACCTACATGCATTGTTAAAGAAATTTTCATGTGATAGGCATGGCTGCACAGGGCTGTTTATGGAGGAGTCAAAAAAAGGCAAGATGGGACTATATATGTACGTATATGTATAAAAGGACAGGGCTTTGAGATGTCATGATCTTTTGACCTTTCTGCTCTGCTCAGATACCGATACTAAAACTTAACCTTTCCTATTTCTAAACTGGAAGACTGCCTTGCATCTCAGCTAAAGATGCCATTCAACTGAACAGCAATTTGGGGGCATGCTTTTGAAGTGACAAAAACATTTCTTTCCTATATTGTGAAAATAGCATATGAGTAATGGCCTTATCAGCACTCCATCACCAGAAACTCTTGTCTTTCAACTCACTTGAACTGGAGTCACAAAATATCTCACTGTAGGGACAAAAGCATTTAAGATCCTTTTTATCATTTTTAAAGGACGTCACATATATACACATACATATTTTAGAACTGCCCTATGGCCATTTATGATCAAAGGATAAACTAATGTCTCTAGTATTGTCCTCTTGGTTTTCATAAATGCAAGGTTTCCCTTACCCATCCTTATAATATAAAAATACTGTGCCTGTCATGAGCAGAACATGAATATCTGGAATATGGAGGCCAGTGTGATAAAATGGAGATCCAATATAGTGTAATGAGTTTGGATATTAAAGTAGAATTAGGAACACAATGGTACAACTGTAATCTCAACCACTGAAATTCTCTTGGTAATTATGCCTCAGTCCAATATACAATAGCTGTTCTGGTGGAAAACAATTATAAGACAAGTGATATGCACGCCACCTTATGTTCTTGGAGGAAAGGTAGAATATAAATCTAACAAATGAATGAATGAACCTTTATTATCAAAGTACAACATGTATACAATAAGGTATTGAAACATAGATGTGATGTTGCATACATTATTTACAATATAGCTTTCAGGTAAGAAAGACGAAGAACCTAGCCTCACTTCTCACATGAGAGCACCTCAGGACCTTTTCATTTGCCATTTACCTTCATTAGTCTTCTGGAAGGCCATTTGAGATGACGGACGTTTATGATTTTTGTTTTTAGGCACATATGTCAGAAATGCAAAGCATATGTCAATAAAATAATCGTGTTTCATCATACTACTAAAACACTCACTGCTGAGAAACACAATCGGTCACATTTTAAGCAGCCAGCCCTGGGACATGAAGTTTGCTCAGGTATTTCAATGTTATAACCTCTATGAAGCTGCCAGTAGAATGATTACAGTTTTCAGTTGAGGTTACCCCCTCTGCCCAGTTTTATACACACTCATACAGAATCAATTCCATTAAGAATTCCAGGTACAGCCTTGAGAATACTTAGATAATTTATAGTTTGATCCCAAGCCTTTTGTAACTTGGGTCTGTAAATTAAGGGCGAGAGAATGACACATTTTGAGATTGGGACTTTAATTCTGAAAGGAGAGTGGGAAAAACAGATAATGGCACAAAATCTAGTATGTGATTACTATGATTAAATATCGCTTCTTACTGAGTAAGAATTAACATTACTAATATTCATCTTATCTTCAAAAACTTTTAAAAATTCAAAATGTTAAAAATTACAGAAAGGCATTTATTTTATCTGTACTATCCCCAAGATCAAATACAATGCTGTTTTCAGCAATGGTTATGGAAAGTAATAAATCCATAAAACATGCAGCTGAACTTACATACAGTATTGATATTCTCTTGGCAAGATTATAAAAAGTAAACAGTGTAAATCTTGAATTCTGCGCGACAAAGATGAAAAGTAAACCAGCCTGGTACAAATCCCACTAGACAGTATTTAAAAGCAAATCACAGAATTTCTTATTAAACCAAGCTGCAAGTAGCAACTTGGAAAGTAATGGGGAAACATGAATAAAAATACAGAAAATGTAAATATTGGTCACTGCATCAACTCTAGTTTCCTTTTCTCTTGGCTTGATGCACTTTTTCTTTTTAAAAAGAGAAAACTACGAAACCAAGAGTATAATTCAGTATCTGTTTATTTCTAAGAATACCAGGCAAAACTTTCACCATATTTATTGAAGTGCAAATTAAATGTGTTTTTTTTTAAATCTGGGCATAAATCAAATTGGTACATTATAAATCCAATAGAAGCTATTTCAGTCCAATAGCCTTCTGGGTAATTTGGGTTGTGGTTTTTTGGGAAAAAAATTGGATTCTTTTCTATGAATTATATGCCTGAGGTTCCCCTTTCCTGTTTCTAATCCTTTCTTTCTTTTCACAGGTAAATACAGCTCAGCTGTACTCTTCAGAAATGCTAAAACAATTGAAGTCTTCCCAGGGAATAAAGCTACATCTTGATATAGGGGCCTCTGGTTTGACCAGTAAACATGTCCAGTGCCAAAGGTTACATTTCTTAAGGATTAAGGATTCTCCTGTTTGACAAGAGACTTCATTTAATGATACATATCGATGGAAAATCCTAGATATGTTGCCTTATCTTCCACTCAGTATTCAGGTAAAACCAGGAATATCAGTGCAAAGGAAATCTGATCTATTTAAAAGGCTGCTTTTGCACTTGTCAGTATGAGGTAAAGGGTCCATCTGGTTGATGGGACTCGGGTCTATCATTTCCAAGAGGAAATAGAGTAACAATGTACAGGCTTGCTCTCTGCAGTAAACATGTAGGCAGAGCTTGCTTATGCCTCAATAAACAGGAGCACTTCTTGGGAGAGTCAATTTAAAGTCTGCAGAAGGACTCTGCCTGCCCTTCAAAGCATCCGTCTTACATCACTAGTGGACCTTAGACAGCCTAGAACTATGCCTGTGACATATGGCCCAATGTTATCTCCACTGCTATCAACCCCTCCAAAGCAGCTGGCGGGAGTGGAGAAAACATGTCATAATTGTTTATTCTTCATGGTAGTGGCATACAGATGGGATTTAGGGGTTACTATTTTTTATAGGAAAGGAACAGATAAGGGATAGACCGTGGTCATTGAAATCATCTAAAGGGAACAACTCAGCTTTATTCTCACTCTCCGAGAAGAGAAAAGATAAATAACCGAGGGAGTAATAATAAAGAAAGAAAACAAAAGGATTAGGCTTTTTAGCAAAACATTTTTTGTTTTTTTTTATTACTAAGGCTGGGTTTGATGACAGACTCTCCTTTGATGACCGCTAAACAAGTGGATTAAATTGCTGAAGAGTATTTGAAAATACCGAGAACATACATTTTACTTTTCAATGCTAAAACGCAAGGAGAATTCTAAAGTAAAAATGAAGTATTGGATGGGAGATGACACTGATAATCAGTGCTTACTATGAATGATGCTTAAGTATCAAGGCTGGGCAAAATAAAAAGTCCTATTTGGCTTGAAAACCCCAGTTAAATACAGAAAAATCAGACCTGAGGTAATTTCCCCTAATAAACTACTTCCAAATGTTTCAAAGAGGAAAAAAGAGACAGTATCAGAACATCCTCGAAGGTGAGATTCAAGAGATGAGGAGAAAGATCAGTAGCTGAAAGCAAACGAACCAAGCATGAGATGATGACAGTGATTATGATCATCTTAATGTATTAAATATATAAGCTGCCCAACTCCCAGAGATTACCCACATCTGCAATTGTAGTGTAAGAATCAAACGTAATAAATGAGGGATAAGCAATGTGATGCCAAGTACCAGGACAGCCCATAGTAAGGACATCCTGTTTTGTTTTTAATGGCCAAAAGCTTATCATTTTTATACGATTTGTAAGATTTCCATTGCTAAATGACATGGTCATGTGATATCCCATTTTACAACTGTATTGCTTAGCAAGTCTCTGGTCCCAAATCCCATCGAAACTCAAGGATTACCTGTACTAAGGATAAAGACAGGCCCAGAAAAAAAGAACCTTTTTTAAATATTTGGGGAGGATGGGAATCTCTAGTATAAATATATTTTAGAATTATTTTAAACAATGTCATTTATATGAATCCCTCATCTTTGGAGTTAATATACAATGTCAAATAAGCACATGGATTTGAATGGACAATACTTCAATTAGTGAAGCATTACTCAGATTACTGTGATTGTGCAAAAGGGAAAATCTGCTTTAGGGGCTTTTCGGCTGCAATTACTGATTTCAAGAATCCCTTCTCTTACATCTTCCTTTTCCCATTTGGCTGGTAATATACTCATTTTAACTGCAGTTGAATTAAAGTATTTTGTCCTGTTGGTTAATCTTAGTGCAGTATGATGCAGTTGTCACCAATAATTCTCTCCATGGTCTCATTCTACTAGAGATGGGTAATCTATTCCTGGAATTTACCACTTTAGATTGCAAGTAAGAAACCAAATCATTTCTCAAATAACAAAGCACATAAATCTCTGAAACTCCTAGTCAAACCTTTCTTCCTAATACACTGGAGATAAAATTTATACAAGATTGGAAGCTGTGTATAGGTTTTCTTTTATTTTTGATTGTAGAATCATGCCAAAAAACCTGAAAGCATGAAAATATAATAATAATAATTTCTCTTTCCTATCTATACACTGGTTTTCTTAACTGTTCCAAAACACTTGCAATTTGTTTTTGAACTATGCTGATTTGACTTTGTTTAACGTGAGCTCAAAATGCATTCAACTGCAACAGATCCTACTGTTCCTTAAGGGGGCCCTTGTGGATATTTGGAGATTGGAAACATGC